GGACACAGAACAAGTGATAACACAGCCAAAAGGATGGTATCACCTGAGACATACCTAGAGCACAATGCAATTCAACAAATGCTTCAACACCTACCATGTGCAGAGCCTGATAGAAGACACAGAGAGTTGTTACATGACTAGCAGTAAACAGGGGGGTGAACAGGTATAAGATACTAGCAGAGCTAGTATAAGAGTAGTAAAATAACAGTGAGCAAAGAATTTTTCAAATACTAATTCATTGAATCCTTATTACTTTATGAGGATGTCATGAGCATTATTATCATTATTATTATCATGTTGAGGAGTAAGGTACCTTAAACAACAGTTCAGGGTCAGTTAGAGGCAATAAGTGGCAGAGTCAATAAGTGGTAAAGCAGCCAACAATCTTCACTATTGCCCTATGCAGAAGGTGGTGACCCTGCTGAAACAGTGGGTCCTAAAATCAGAGATCAATGATCATTACTCAAGGCTATTCTAAAGGTGACTTATGCAAAAAAGCAGACCAGAAACATTTAGGCCCTCTCCATCTCAAGAATCCTGAAATTTGGAGATCTAGATTTTTAAAATTACAGCTTGCCCAAGTCAAATCCTATGGAAAAGAAGAAATAGAATTATTTTTCTTTGCCACACTTAACAGCAGAAAGACTTGAGCATGGGATGGAAAAATACTAGGAGTTCAATTGTACCATAGTCCTAGCAGCTCCCAAGGGGAGCTTCCAAGTTTAAGCTGAACAGCAGAGGAAAGGAGAACACAAAGAGGGTGGAATAGGTCAGCCCACAGCTCAGACCCTGGAGACACAGTCTCCAAGAAGTCTTTTCCTCCATCCTTCCTTCTGGGGAACATTACTGTTGGGAGCCACTGTGGGCCCCCAGGGCCCCACTGGAGGAGAGTCAATGAGTCCCAACAATTACTCTGATTTTGACCTGAATAAAGACCCAAGAGAGTCATGTTTCAGGAGACTTCATAACCTGGTTACTGATTCCCAACCTTCTCTATGCTAAGACCTACCCAGCTTCCTGGAAGGGGAAACTAGACTCTTCAACCTCAGGCTCCATCCAGAACAGCTCTTTCTGCCCCTTCTGCCCCATGGGTCAGAAATTTGGGCCTCCTCTTTCCAAACCATCCTGGTCCTCTTTCCAAACCATCTCCACTTCATCCACAGAGGACAGGATGCCGCCCTCTAGCATTCCTGACCCCCAGAAGGAAGGCTAGCAGATGCTAGACCAGCTGCATGCAAACTTCTGACTTGTGGAAAAGCTGTGAAGGTCACAGGGCCAGGACACTTCTTGACAGCATCTGAGCTGACTCCCCAGGTAAGGGCTGTGGACGTTGGACTGAGGATTTATGACAGCAACATCAAGCAGTACAGCACCACCATCTGCACCACGTCCATTCCCTCCCTTGACCCTCATGAGGTAAGTTGAATTGTGATGCCATTTTATCAGGTGAAATAAATGGCCAAAAGTTACACTGAGAGGTAGCAGTTAAACCAGGGCACAAACCTTTCTTACTCCAGATCTTAAAGTTCCAAAGATGCAATACCCACTCACTTCACTTCTCCTGGGGTTCCTGTTCATGAACACAGGATCATGAAGAAGTAGTTAAGACAGGCTATCTCATTCTTAGGTCCTATCTGTCTCCAGGAGTCATAGTCTGTGGGTGGTATGTACTGTGTACATACATGCTCACACAGAGCATGGTCTTAGAGAGGAGACGCCATCTACTCCCATACTCACTTGTGCCTAGGAATGAGCCTTTCACAAGGTGGTGGTGTCTCCTTGTCAAAGCACTAATAAGAATCTAAAGCACAGGAAGGATACCTCCCAAGCCATCTTTGTTGTCCCAAGGGGAAGCACTTGGCCTTGTCTGACCCTGAAAAATTGTCCTCAGCACCATCGCACTCATGTCACTGACTTCTCAGAGCACAATATCCTCAGGAAGTGGATATTGGTGGCCAGCAGTGTTTGAGAATCTGACTTCCCTCCAGTGAACTCAAGGCTCTGACTCTGCCTCTAGCATTCTTGTGGATGCACCTCCCGCTCCTCTGCCTGGTGGGCTAAGGGTCTTTCACTTCCTTCTCCATCGTTTCCACAGAAATCTTTTCTCCCTGTGACTACACTCTAAATTTGAACACTTTAGCATGCCATCCTGAAGTCCCTGTGCTCAGAAACCTCTCTCTTCTGGTTCCCTGTTGCTTTAGTTCCTGCACTGATTATACCATCCATTTCTCCTATTTTGGTGCCACTCTTTCTTACATTCTTGAACTCTTTTTTTTCTTATCCCTACACTGGACCGTCAGTCAAAATGTTTCCACATTCATAGGTCATTTAATGTACATGCTCAAATGCATACATTTACACTGAACCAACCAGAAAGGGTTAGTGGACCCTACAGCCTCTCTATTAATATTCTTAGTACCTAATGAATAAAATATAAAATTCTTGCATTGGATCAAAATCCTCTACAATATTAAACTCAGACTTCTTTCCAGACTGATATCTTCCCTGGCCTGGCCTGTACCCTCTGCTCCTGATAAAAAATGCATAACGTATATTTTGAACTTTTGTTCTTTTTTATAAAATTTCTATTTGGCAAAAAATCTTTCTGCTGCTTTTTCCACAAATTAGGCCAGCACTTCAACCACTTTATTCAGAACTATTAATTGGTATGTGGATCTATGTCCACATCATCTGTACCAAAAAGGCACAAAAACCTCATACCCTACCTCTGAGAACCTACCTAATTTCCGATTACAAACCACAGGGGACTAACACAGCCTCACTTATGGCATATAATTCTTGCTCTGAGGTTTCTTTTTCTTTTTCATACTTCAGTCTTCCCATCTTTTCCTTTGAAGTTTGGCTATGTGTTTGATGGGGGTTTATGTTTATATTGATCTATACTTTCTATGTGTTTTTTAAGAATGGAAGCTGTCAACATCAGCTTAGTCAGCCATATTGCCAAGAGCCCAACCTCAAATCTTACATTCTATACCATATGAGATGGACATAGTCTCTGAGCCTCCAGGTTTACAGAATCCTTTGAAATCTGAGGCACAGGGATTCTAGATGAAGAGGAGAAAAAACAACATAAAAGACAAACCCAAACTTCTTTAGAGGTAGAGATGAGAAAGCACATCCTGATTAGATATGACAGAGGTAAGTAGGCCTCCATTCCCCCATGCCTAATATGTAACTCACATATTACTGTAGGAAACACTGAGAATTGGTGAAAGAATTAATTATATATTTAGGGATTTTTTAGTACAATTCTATTAGGAAAAAAATGGTGAATTACTTATGAAAATTCAGACTACCACAATAATTGATCACAAAAATGGCAAAGTAACATTCCATGTGTGTATTCTTGATGGTGGGTGTCTCTCCTGGAGGAGGAGGAGAACTAGGATAGAGTCTCCTCCCTCCCCTGTGACTCTATCATCACATTCAGCATCCTCCACATTTGCATACACTTGGCACAAGAGATAGTAGAGGAAGCCCAGTACTGGAACACATAAGATGATTGGCCAGAAGTTGGTCACATGAACAAATCTCAACCCAAGGGAGCCTGGGAAATGTAGTCTACTTGTGTCCAAGATGAAAAGAAGAGCATGGGTTTAGACAAGCAGCTAGTAGTCTGTCATAGATATTATGACTTAGACTGCAATATGTGTCAAAGAGGAACCTGTGATGGAGCAGTGAAGGAAGAACTAATGATATTTCAGTTAGAAGACTAAGATAGTCTGAGCTGAAGCACCGAAACATTAAGGAAAAAGACCAAGGTATGTAATCACTATTTTAAGTGAAAAAACAACACATCATATGTATAGATAACAGATAAATTGTCTGGTTGTGCCTTGAACATCACATATGTGGGGAATGCAAAAAATAAACCAGGATTTTACTAAAGAACTATTAAGGGAAAGCTTATTATTGAATGCAATAAACAATACTCCAAAATTATTAATATGGAGGAGTCAAAAAAATAAAATGGATGTTTTCTTATCCCCCATGTCTTTCAATCTCATTCTTAGTCTGAATGTACAGTGTGTGGGGTTTGGACAAATAAGGTGGAAGTATAGCTGGATATGGAAATATCAGGACTGCCAAAATAGGCCTGAGAGTTTATTGAGCAGTAGTTGTAGCTACTGTACAGCTGTATAAGTCACCACAAGAAAAAAATTAAAAACCAAAAGAGAAGAATAAAAAGAAATACATGGTGATTATGCATTCCTTATATAAGCTCATACTTGAGGGCTTGTCAGATATACAGTCTCTTAAAAGAAGTGGCAAAAATCTACTTTCAAAATGGGATACCAGGGGAGAAAATTCACTGGGTTTATTTTGGTAGAACCTAAACCCAGAGATCCTTGAGATTTACAATATCCCAATGCCCCATACAGACCCATTACCTTATGGGGTCTGGGATCACTCTTTGTTTGGTCAATAGAATAATTCCACATCTTAAGGTCAGTCCATCTACCATCTCTTTGCCCTGGAGAGCTTAGTCAAAAACTCCAAAGGCTATCTGTTCCTTATCATATATAATCAAATCAGTGTGTGATTCTGGCTTTAAATTATCAGGTCCTTGAGAGCAGGGACTATGCCTTATCCATTGAATGAATGAATGAATAAACTGTATTTGGCACATATTTGTGATTTTTTCCATAAGGTCTAACATAGACTCTAGGCTGTAGAATATGAGATTTAATTATGAAATGATTGAGTCTTGAGAGTTTATGGTGTGCTAACAAGGGAAGATGAGCACTTCTGATTCGCACGTTGCTCACTTCTCAGACATGAGTGTCCTGGTGAATGTCAATTAGTCCCAGAGACCAACAGATATGTTTCTTCAAAGTTTGAATATCTCTGGATTTTATGAAGGCAGGCATTGAGAAAGCAGATCACTAGAATCAGAAGTACTGCATACAGAAGATCATAATGCACAGTAATAGCACTAATAATTCTAGACTCTTCTCACTTTTCATGTTGAAGGAACCATGAGGGAAAGAAACCAGTCTTCTACCATGGAGTTCATCCTCTTGGGAGTCACCGGTCAGCAGGAACAGGAGGATTTCTTCTTCATCCTCTTCCTGTTCATTTACCCCATCACAGTCGTGGGAAACTTGCTCATCATCCTCGCTATTCTCTCTGACAGTCACCTCCACAACCCCATGTATTTCCTCCTGGCCAACCTCTCCCTTGTTGACATCTTCTTCTCCTCTGTAACCATCCCTAAGATGCTGGCCAATCATCTCCTGGACAGCAAAGCCATCTCCTTTGGGGGATGCCTGACACAGATGTATTTCATGATAGCCTTGGGTAACACAGACAGCTACATGCTGGCAGCAATGGCATATGACCGAGCCATGGCCATCAGCCGCCCTCTTCATTATACAACCATCATGAGTCCAAGGTCTTGCATCCTGCTGGTGGTTGCATCCTGGGTGATTGGAAACGCCAATGCCCTTCCTCACACTCTGCTCACAGCTGGTCTGTCCTTCTGTGGCAGCAAGGAAGTGGCCAACTTCTACTGTGACATTTCCCCCTTGCTCAAGCTGTCCTGTTCTGACATACACTTGAACGTGAAGATGATGTACCTAGGGGTTGCTGTTTTCTCTGTGCCATTACTGTGCATCGTTGTCTCCTATGTTCGTGTCTTTTCCACGGTCCTCCGTGTTCCATCCACGAAGGGTGTACGCAAAGCCTTCTCCACCTGTGGGTCTCACCTCACAGTTGTTTCCTTGTACTATGGGACAGTCATGGGCATGTATTTCCGACCTCTGACGAGTTACAGCCTAAAGGATGCTGTGATAACTGTGATGTATATGGCAGTGACCCCGATGTTAAATCCTTTCATCTACAGTCTGAGAAACCAAGACATGAAGGCTGCTCTGAAAAAACTCTTTCACAGTAGAAGCTCTTCATAACCAATGTGAGGTCATACATTGCATACCTATTAACTTATGGGGTCTGGGATCACTCTTTGTTTGGTCAATAGAACAATTCCACATTTCAAGGTCAAAGTGCTCACCACTGGGAGGAACTTGGAATTCCACCTCCAATGTTATCTCTTACAAGAAGCGTCCTCTAAACTTTACAGCCATAAATTCCTAGTCTCCAAAGTCTTATAACCATTTAGTGAAACAATTTATGGAAATTATCACTTTGACCGCATTGCTATTTCTGTTGGCTGATCAGCAACACAAGCTATTGGGTTCACATCCCCCCTACAAAATTGACTAGCACGGTAAAGTTGAAAAAAGTTTGAGCCTAGGCTTCTACATCTACATATTAAAACAATAATATCTGCCCTGCTGGTGTCACAGAGAGTGGTCATAGTAGCTCATGCTTTGAAGACTACAACTCAGCATTTTTATTTGACTATTATGCTTAATCCTGCCTGCTAGGCTTGCAAGTCTGAGGGCAGAAGCTGTGAAATAGATCAACACAAGACTGTCTTCACAATCCTGGTCATATAAGGTACATCCAGTAAACACTGGCAGAGGTGGAATGGGTGAATGACAATAATGTCTCTGATATGCAATCTGATAATGATTATAGATAATCAGAGTGGACATGATTTATCCATCCTTAAAAATCTTTCAGGAATTTGGGAATATATTTTTGTGCTTCCTTCATATTGATTAAAATAGACTCTTTTAAGATCATAGAGTTCTCCCTAAAATTTTACTAAAATGATGGTAATGTAGGTTTTTAATGGTTTGAAGTAATAATGATTCTGCTCTAATAAATAAAATAAATGCAGGTATAATTCATTCTAATACAAAATAAAACTACAATGATCAAAATCTTAGGTGCCATATAATAAACAAAGAAAAAAGACCAGTGTTGATAATGACGTGACTGAGTTTCTCCTGAGTGGCGCAGGGAAGGCGAGGCCATGATTCTGGCCATTAATTCTGATTATGTAGGTAACATTCCCAAAACAGAGTTAACCCAGCACATCACTGAATACCCACTAAGGGACCCCACAATCCAAGTTTTGTCCTACTTATGAGAAAATCAGAAGATTTTCTCAAAACATTAATGACATATAAATGATTCCTCAACAATCTTATTTTTCCAAATAAAATGTTCTTAAAAGATGGCTTGAGTATATCTTAGAATAATATACAGGTTGTCTTATTATCCAGTTTTTTTAACTGCCAGGTAAAATATAATTATTGTCTTCTATATATAATTCATGTTGCCAAGAATTTGTCCATGAATGTTTGAAGATGATGGTACTCACATTTTAACATGTTCTGGGACCCTAAAACACCAAGGATGAGAACTATCAAAATTATCTTCTTTTGAACTGAAAGGATTTGATTACAACTTAATATAAACTTGTATGAATGAATGATCATAGGATGCAGTAAATAAAGGTATTTTATTAGGGCATTTTCAAGGCTAGGCAATGAAAATGTCACATAAATTTATCTATTCTCTATCTCTCCCAGCCTGAATGTGAAGGTTTGGGATCTGTCTTGTTCCCTGCTCTACTTCAGCACTTAGGACAGTTGACATATAGTAACTACTTAATAAAATTGTGTTAAATGAATAAGTGAATCCTTCCATAATATATTTAAATAATGTATACAAGGTTAATATTTCTGCAATGGGTATAACTCAATAATGTCAAATGTAATAAAATATTTCAAATATTTTCTATAGAGAAATATTAAGTGCCAAAGAGAACACTACATAAGAAGAGCTGAGAAAATATATATTCTTAGGAGAAGTCCAAACACTTAACTATTGAAATCAAACTCACATTATTCCTCTGCATTAAGTTAGATAAGGGAAGTTGACCTTCCTTTCTTTATTTCCTACAATAATCATAAGAATCTATATGTACATGAATAGATTCCATTGCAAATAAAAACTACTGCCCCTGTCTTTCAGTTCATTGTCTGAGCCATCTTCCTTTGATTCTGTCAAGCATGCTGTTCTGAAATAATATTAACATAGTAATTTAAGTTACTCTATGTAAACCCTAGGATTGACTAAGTTTGGAAAAGCCTTGATAGCTTTTATGTTAATGAAGTTTCCTTAGGATGGTTAAGGAAACAGAAATCACATCTGTTATATTTAAACCAAAAACACTGAATACAAAGAATCTGATACAAAGGTGCATTCTGAAAGACTAACAAAAGGGAAAAGAATGCTGAGGTTGCCCAGTGATTATTGAGTGCAGGAAGTGACTTCCTTCAGAACCAGTGTAATAAAAGGGGAAAGGTTGTGGTGGTATCAGAACCTAGGGATGACCACATCTCTGACACTCTAATCTCTGAGGACCACTCAGCCGCCCCTCAGTCTTTACCTGCAGAGGTGACTTCTATTTGGGGGAAATATAAACCCTCAAAAGCACTTTTGGGGGCAAGGGGATCTTATGGAGTTGCTATTTGTTTTATTTGTTGGTCATGGAAATATTAAGAGGCATCCCACACACAACTCCAGACAGTCCTCTTTGTCCTCCATCATATAGCAACAACGTGATGTCCTTGCTCATTGGGGTTAATCACCCTCACCAACAGAGAAATCTCTTTTTTCCCCCTGAGTAGCCCACGGAGACACACTACAATTTGTTTGAATCTTAGCAACAAAACATTAAATTTTCAAAATTCAAATTCCCAAAGATTATTACTGATATCCTTTTTATAAGGCTGTAAACAATGAAAACAACCAAAAATACATTTTCAAGAATATACATATATGCCATAAAAATGCATTAAAAACAAATGACCACAGGGCTCAGATGAGAGGAAGTTCGAGAGGGGATAGTCAGGGGAATGAAACTAGGGGTACTAGGTGGTTCGATGTAGGATATGACCACAGTCCTAATTTTCAGGCTTGGTAGTAAGTTCCAGAGTGTTTATAAAATTATGATAGATAGAAAGATGATATATAGATAAAAGCTCTACATGAAACAACGATGCTTATCTCTCATCAAGGATTAGGTAGAGACAAAAAAGTAAGGGAAGAGAGAGAGACGTAATGAGGTCGGGAGTTTAATCAGACATCTCTAAGAGAATCTGGAAGATTTCAACATATTTCTATAGCATAGACTAAATAACACTCCTTTACAGATAAGAGTCATATTTTTGAAATATTAAATGAATTATTCAATGTCTTTTACTAAGAAAGATGCAGGATGTCAAATCAACCATACCATTTGGTCATGCAGAGAATTAAATCTTGTCATTTTCAACAGTATGGATGGGCCTAAGGACATTATGATAAGTGTAATAAGTCAGGCACAAAAAGACAAATACCACATGATCTCACACATGTGTGGAATGAAGATATAAACCCTAAATACAGAGATAATGTGGAAATGGAAACAATTGTGATAGCAGCAGATGTTCAGGGTTTTGAGGTTGAGCCACTAATAGGAAAAGGATGCCTTTAATGACAATAATGAACAAGAGAGTAATTTAAGTCTAATTAGTTCCATCTGGAGTGTGTTTTTAAGAATTCCTGTGACTGTTGTGGAGGTTTTGAATTAAAATAGTAGAAAGAACACTTGAAGCCTTGGAGCAAAAAACTAACAAAGCATAGGTCAGAGTGGAGTTGATAAGTTATGGAAATACATGTGGGATGGGGAGAAGGTGGTTAATGGGTCCTATGCTGCAGTTAGATGGAGCAAGAACTCTGGGTGAGCTATTGCACATGAGGGTGATATAGATCACAGTTATTACTGTACATTTCAAAAGCTAGAAGAAAGGATTTTGAATTTTTTTGGTTTTAAAACTTTTTATTTGCGTATTAAAAAATTGTGCATTCCAGTAATTAAGATCATTTGAACAAAAAAAAAGGCACTCTGATTAAACTGCATTTTACAGGCTGCAGGACACCTTGGAACAGCTTGGATCTTACTCTAGATTCACCATCTTCCCACCCAACATCTTCCTTCAGTGACATGCAAGTTCTTTTCTTTCTCTGCCAGCAGATGGGAGAGGCAGGCCTGGCCTTAATTGTCAGTAGTTCTTGATTTTTTGATGTGAAAATGGGCAGCACAGTCATTTACACTTGATCCAACATCTTTGCATCTTACAAAGTTAAACAGCTAAAAGAAGTAAAATAAGGAGGCAATGCTTGTGGAATATACCGTGCATATTGGCGGTGCACTCCTCATTACTATTTGCCTGCTTGCTTCTCCTGTTCAATCGTTTCTTTTGAAGGCAGAGGATTTTTCTCCCGTGTTTCTGTCTTCTTCAGTTTGGACTTATCGAATTTCTCGATCTCAGCCATATCAGACATGGTCTCAGAAGAAGCGGAGCAAGAAGCGTGAACAAGAGAAGTCTGATCTGCTCAGTGACCATGGCCGAGTGGGGATTTTGAAGTTTTAAGATAAAGAAATGATAAATATCTACAGATTTATTAAATTTATTTATTGGTTTCAACAGTTTTTTGGTGGAATCTTCAGGTTTTTCTATGTATAAAATCATGTCATCTGCCAACAGGAACAATTTACCTTCTTTTCCAGTTTGGGTAGTCTTTACTTCTTTCTCTTGCTTAACCCTGGTCAAGAGTTTCAGTACTGTGTTCACTAGGAGTAGTGAAAGAGGACATCCTGGGTCTGCTCCAGACCTTAGAAGATACACGTTCAGCTTCTCCACATTTAGCACAATATTCTACACAGCCTTTATTGTGATGAGATACGTCACTTCTATACCTAATTTGTTGAGGGTTTAAATCATGAAAAGATGTTGAATTTTACCAAATTTATCAAGGATATCAGTTTGTAGTTTTTTTAAATTAATTTTTAAATGTATATATGACAGTGGAATGAATACAAACAACAATAAGTGTTGGCGAGGATGTGGGGGAAAAGGTACACTCATACACTGCTGGTGGGACTGCAAATTGGTGTAGCCAATATGGAAAGCAGTATGGAAATTCCCTGGAAAACTGGGAATGGAACCACCATTTGACCCAGCTATCCCTCTCCTTGGTCTATACTCAAAGGACTTAAAAACAGCATACTACAGGGACACAGCCACATCAATATCTGTAGTTTTCTTTTTATTACCATAACTATTAGCACATTTAATTGTTCAAAATAATGGGTTTCATTGTATGTTTTTATACATATATTAACATGTACATAACATCCTCTGATCATATCCAGTCCCCTTACAAACTTTCTTTTTTTAATTTTTTATTTGTTCTTTTTAGATATACATGTACAGTAGAGTATATTTTGACATATACATACATGAAGTATAACTTATTCTAATTAGGATCCCATTTTGTGGTAATTAAACATGATGTAAAGTTACACTAGTCGTGTATTCTTATAAGAACATAGGAAACTTAGGTCCTATTCATTCTACAGTCTTTCCTATTCCCATCATCCCTCCCTTCCCTTCATTCCCTTTTGTCTAATCCAATGAACTTCTATTCCCCACTCACCACCTAGTGTTAGCATCCACATATCAGAGACAACATTCAGCCTTTGATTTTGGGGGGGGGGGGGATTGGCTTATTTCACTTAGCATGATAGTCTCCAGTTTTGTCCATTTACTGGCAAATGCCATAATTTCATTCTTCTTCTTTATGGCTAATATTCCATTGTGTATATGTACCACATTTTCTTTATTCATTCATCTGTTGTATGCCTTTCTACTTTCACATTGCAGACACCATGGCTTAGCTATTGTGTATAGTGCCATGATAATCATGGATATGCTGGGATCCTACTGCATGCCGACTGATTCCTTCTGGTATGTACTCAGGAGTGGTAGAGCTGGGTCACGTAGTAAAGTTCTATTTTATTTTATTTATTTTTTGCTTTTATAAGCATCTCCATACTGTTATCCAGACTGGCCATACTCATCTACATTCCCACTCCCAGTGTGTAAATGTTCTGTTTTCCCTGAATCATCACTAGCATTTCTTGTTTGGTTTGGTTTGGTTTTTTACTTAATATAAAAATAGTCATTCTGACAGGTGAAATGAAATCTCAGTGTAGTTTTGATGTTCATTTTCCTGATGACTAAAGATGCTGAGTGTTTTTTCATGTGTCTATTTGCCATCTGTATACTTGTTCTTTTGAGAAGTGCCTGTTCAGCTCATCTGCCCATTTTCTGATTGGATTATTTGTCCCTTGGTATTACATTTTCCAAGTTCTTTATTATTTGGGATTTCAATCCTCTGTTAGATGAAAAGCTGGCACAGATTTTCTCCCATTTTGTAGGCAATCTGCCTCTTCACCCTGTTATTTTCCTGTGCTGTGCAGAATTTTATCCATTTCTTCTAAGTTTTCCAATTTGTTCTCATATAATCATTCATAACAGTTTCTAATGATCTTTTTATTTTTGTGGTATCAGTTATAATGTCTCCTTATTCATCTCTTACTTTATTTATTTAAGTTTTCTCTCTCTCTTTTTCCCCTCTTGTTTAGCCTGGCAAAAGCTTTGTCAGTTCATCTTTTTAAAAAAAACTGTTTAATTGATCTTTTGTATATATTTTTTAAATTCTTCATTTTGTTTACTTCAGTTCTGACTTTTATTTCTTTCCTTCTCTTAATTTGGGTTTGATTTGTTCTTTATTTTCTAATTTTTAAATAATGAATTATTTTTACCTGTATAAGGCAGTTGTGAATATGAACCATACTAGATATTTGGTGATACAAATAAATTAGTGTTAAATTTTTAGGTGAGATAATGGCCTATTAGTTATTTTCTTAAGAAATGTATAAATACATAACTCTTTCCTTAAGAGTTTCTGTTTTTATAGATACACATAGAAATTTACCAGTGACATGATATATAGAGTTTGGTCCAAAGTAAATCTAAAGGAATAAGGGATGAGGAGGAAATTGGGGATAAAACAAGCAAATCTGGCCATGAGACAGTGACTATTAAAAAAGGTGACAGGTATTTAAATTGACTTCATATTGGCTCACTCTTTTTTATTTAGCTAAAAGTAGTACTCAAGAAATCATGAGTTTGATGTATTAGTTTGGGGGAGGTTGTTTCAAATATATAACCTTCAAAATAAAAATGTAATGGATACAAAATGTGATATGTACTATATCAAAATATAACATAGACATATATAATATAACAATTGTTAAAGAATAGAGAATATAGCCAATTAAATTGATATTAATTTAAATTATTAAGTTAATAAGAACAGATATTATACCACAATGAAACATCACCTCACACTTGTTGGAATGACCATTATCAAAGAAATAAAAGGTGTTGGTGAGGGTCTAAAAGGGGTGCTGTGAAGGGACATGAAGTTACCCTTGCAGGAACAGTGACTAAAAGGAAATACAGGTTAACTTCTGGAGTGCTAGCAGTGTGCCTTTCTTCTAAGTACCCAGGACTCTTCCATTTTTAAAAATTCCTCCTTCACTTTCTAGCTTCATTTTATTACCTAAACATAAGCATAAGTATTGTTGTTCAGCCTGTGTCTGATAATTAGAATTTGGAGTTCTCTGGGTCAACTGTCTCCACTTCTCTCCATCCCCCTTTCTCTCCCTCTCGCCTCTATTTTTCCTTTCACATCCGGGGTCCCTACATGCTTCCCATGTGTTGGTTCTTGCTTTTGAAATCTTATTTCCTCATATATCTACTTATCTTTGTTTATGTGTTGGATATTATCCTTAAAAAATATTGAGAAAAAATAATTTGAGGTCTAAGGGACATTGTTTTCCTCCAAACATGATTTTTTTTTCAGTTGCTTTTACTTTAGTATTTGAAACCAACTTAAAACCATCTTGAGCCAAGATTAGTGTTTGAGATTTTCCAGATCTCTAATGGCTCAAAGCTGGGTTTCAGAATGTGTAGATTCTTCTTTATTTTTCACTTATCCTTACTTGTAGGGCAACTTTTAGGACTGCTGCACAGTAATGATTTGTTTACTTCTTGTAAACTAGACTCATTTCCCAAGATCTTTACCTCTAAATATCAACATTAGAGCAATTATCTGTGTTCATCTCAAGAAGCTGTCTTGGGATTGCCTCCCCAAGGCCTCTCCAAAACTGATAAATGGGCCCTGTTCAGCCCCGTTCTACATGAAACTGGGATCCAAGCCTCAGTTCTCATATCCCCCAGACCAACTAGGGCATAAAGAGCCTTAAATTCTGTTTCCCTTTTTACAGGGACTGAGACCCAGGGAACAAGTTCCTGCTCCTCATCTTTAGCCAAAAACACAAGTCATTAAGCCCTATTCAGAAAATTATGCATTAGAGTCCCTTATGCCCTTTTTATCCTGTATAGGAGAAAAGTGGTGACAGCTGAACCAGAGAACTCCAAGAACTGCACAGAGCAGTGGATAAGGTCAGTAGGTAAGGTCTCAGGCTTGCCTTCTCTTTTCTATTCTATTCTCTCCTCTTCTCTCCATCCCCCTTTCTCTCCCTCTCACCTCTATTTTGTTTTTCACATACTATGTAATCTAACCTCTTGGTGTTGTAAAGTAATATAACAATCCTTCAAATCTTTTAAGTGCTGTATGGTTTTCAAATTACTGCCACATGCCCTGCTGCCTGTGATTCCCACCACCTGCTATTCAGGTGAGATGAGGGAGCTCCAGGAGGTTGTGCTCTAGTAGAATGGACAGAATGGAGGAGGTGCCAGAGCCTCTGCGAGTCTGAGTCCTTTTCCATATTGCCCCTGCAATCTCTCCACTCACAGCTGAGCCACATCATAGAAGGGTTTGTGCTTCCAAGGACCATCTGAGCACACCAAGGTCCAGAACCTACTCACTCTGCCAGATTCAGAGCCGAGTTTCCGAAGTATGGGATTAGAACCACCAGGTGCTTGGTTAAAGAGTCTTGGTTCTCAAAATAGGACCAGGACTTTAAGGGAAAAGGACAGGAGATCAGCATTCTCCCCTGAAGCACCACAGGTGATCCTGACACTCAGTAAAGTGTGGGAGACTCTTGCATTGAGCACTAGAAAGCAGAGGCTTCAATTCCTCTGAAGGTCCTCTGGCTTTCCCAATCTTGTCATCTGGCCCCGACTCTCCCTCCTGTCATGCAGATGTCCCAGAGAGCTTGAATTTCAGGAGCCAGACTGAAAAAAAGTAGTTTCTGCTGGAGTCTTAGGAGGTGGAAGAACCTTCTCCATGGCAGAAATAGACATGGTGGCCCAGGGTGCCCAAGACTTCGGTCATCTCGGGGGAATGAAAGTTCCCCTTTCCATTTGCAAATTCTTTTTGTGGTTGTTGTCATTTAATTTTGGTTTTGGTTTTGGTTGTTTGTGTTCCTGGAGATTGAACCCAGGACATTGCATTTGGTGAGCTATACTCCAGTCCTTTCTGTTGCAATTCTTTTGTTTTTTTGTTTTATCATTGTTGATTTTTCCAATACTGGGGATTGAACTCAGGCGCTCTTGATCACAGAGATACCACACCAGTTCTTTTTATTTTTTATCTTATTGTATTTTTTATACCTTTATTTTATTTGTTTATATTTATGTAGTGCTGAGGATCGAATCCCAGTGCCTCAAGCATGCTAGGCAAGCATTGAGCTACAGCCCTAGCCCCCAGTCCTTTTTTATTTTTGAGAGAGGGTCCCACTAAGTTGCTAAAGCTGGCCTCAAATTTGCAATCCTCCTGTCCCAGAGTAGCCAGGATTACCAGCACACCCAGCTACAATTCTTTATTCTTTCTAAGTGGCAAGCAGCCTCGTTTTTGCTGGTCACAAGTTTCCAGGTTTTCTCCTTCCTCCAGGTGGTGGGCTAACACAAGGCAAACACTCATCATGGAACTCTTAGTCACCACTCCTCTCCACCATCAAATCACACTGCGTTGTTGGGCAGATCCTCAGCTCAAAGCTGCACTTGCCCACTGCAAGAAATAATGGTATAGAACCACAGGAGAAGTATATAAGTAACAAATAAAAGATTCAGGATACAATCTCTAGAAGTTCCACTCAAATGCCAAAGGACCACCACATCATTACTGCATAATTTGATTCCAATTCTTTTTTTTTCTTTTTTTTTTAATTTTTTATTGTGGGTTGTTCAAAACATTACAAATTTCTTGACATATCATATTCCACACTTTGATTCAAGTGGGTTATGAACTCCCACCTTCACCCCATACACAGATTGCAGAATCACATCATTAATTCTTTATATATAAAGAGACCCCAAATCACCTCCTTGCACTGAAACAATCTCTCAGCCCACAGGCTCCTGCTGCCTGTCTGTGTGTTCCCTCTGATGGGAAATTCACTTCCTCCCCAGCAAGCTTTGCTTTCTCAGCACTTAGATCCTCCGGGTAACAGACTCACTGTCTTTCTTTCACACCCTCATTCCTGACCTGGACAGCCCACACTCCTTCGTATGGGAAGCCCAGAATGATGAGTTCCCGGGATCTCATCTCTCCTGTGCAGGGCCTGACACAAAAGAATTGCCAGCTCAACATCCTTCCCTGCAGTCCCAGGGTGGGCTGAGGCTGTTCCTGTCTGAAAGAGGGGCAGAAGCAAGCCCAGGATGGAGAT